TAATGTAAATAGTGTACATAATACCTCATCTCAGAAATATAGACTGACATTGCATTTAAATTATTTAAGATCAAAATTGGCTGGAAAGCATGGAACTGGAAGAGACTTCCATAAGTGAGAAATGCAAGAAAAGAAACTGTTAGCATAGAACTTACAGTTACATCTCAGACAATTCAAGTGTAAATTGATGCAACCTTGTTGCTAATCTAGTAATGCACTTGAATTCATAATAAATACCATAGCGAAGAGGTCATCCAAACAATTACCATGAAAATATTTATAGAAAGGGCATAGGGAAACAACTTTACAGTGGTGGGAAAGTGACTGAAGCTGAGATGCCAGGTCATGATCAGTAATATTGCTGATTCTTTATTGGATTTTATCAAGAATCTCTAAATATGTGGCAGGAGAACCAGACTCTATGTGGCAGCAATATTTGAGGCATGGCATACTTATGTAAGATAGTTTCTAGCAAGAAAAAGTGTCTAGCATGACACAGTGAACCAACATTCTTAGCAGTGGAACTAGCAATGGATTCAATATAGTCTTTCCACTTCATATCAGCCATGAATGTTAGCCCAAGAAGGTTCAACAAGTCATTTTCTTGGAGATTGACATATTGCTGATGGAAGGCAGAAAAGAGTCTCTCTGATTAATAGAGGTCAGTTTTGTTTTGGAGGCAAAAGTTAACAAGCCATTCATTGCCTTAGTTAACAACAAATTGTAGGTCATTTTTGAGATTAGCTGCCAAGTTGACCTTATCGGTCTGATCCGACTTACTATTGAGACTGGAGGAAATGGTTGCTTCATCAGCATAAATACCAAGCTTCTATACTACTACATAAATGATATCTTGTTTTTAGATACTATCACTGTCACCCTTACATTACAATGCTAATATAATTACTAAATAAATTGGTGATTCTAGTAAGAGGAATGTAAATATCATTGATTAGTGAGAGAAACTTGTGTTTTCATGTTAGAAAGCCAACTTAGCTTTGTGTAACTGTCTTACGTTGTCCATTTTTGGTAGCCACTTGTGTTATTTTAATCTACAAAGTTAAGCCTGATCAGTACATAGATGAGTTACTGTTTAGGAATACCAGGTGCTGTAAACTTGGAAATTGGAGAGCTAGATTCTGATTCCAGTCAGGTTTATTATTTTCATTTACAAACCAATACACCTGGGAAAGGTGTGAATACACCTCTTCTATGGGTTAATTAGTAGAACTTTGTGGTGAACAGTCCCGTAGAAGCAAGTGAACCAGAGTGACTTACATCTGGTGCAAAGGAAAATAAGGGTCTTACCTCAATATGTGGCATTGGCAGTTTTGCACCTTGAAAATAGCAATACTCTCCTGTCTATCTATTCCAGCAGTATGTGCGGTAATTAGTTTTTGTACAGTTTGGCATGCTTCAACCAATAGCAAGTCATGTGCTGATTGGTTGAACTGGAGGAGGCTATTTACTTGGGTAACTGAGAATGAAAGTGAAAAATGCTGATTGGTTGGTTGACCATGGTGTTGGCCTGATAAAAGAGGGCTGAAGCAGTGAGTGAGAAGAAAAGACAGATTTACATTTTGAAGTGTGTAAAAAGCAAGAACACTGGATTGAACTAGCTGTATCTTGAATTATACGAATGATGTCTGAGCACTAGAGACTCATTTAAGCTACAAACTTGTGTCAGTTAATCATTAATATCTCAAAAAAATTTACAATCTAAAAATATTTTATGGCTTCAAATAACCTGCAAAAGGTCAATAGGCCATAAATGACAAATCAATCAATCAGTTATTTTAATATATAGTTGTCATCACTGGTGGAACTCATTGCCGTGAATGGGGGGGGGCTCATCAACATTTACTTCAGTGTGAAATGAGTCCTATGTTGGATCTGAAGAGATGTCTGCAGCCACTGCATAGTAAGTTAGAAGATCCAGGGAATAGAGAGTTCTAGCTTTTCCTTAGACTCTTTTATTGTTCTTATGTTCTTTTTATGTGGATTGCTCTTCTCCAATTGGTTCTTTCTGCAATTTTCATCTCCCAATTGACCAGATCCATTTCTGTCAATATTTGTCATATAAACACCAACCTAAAAGTCAATAGAATAGTCTTTTACACCCTTGCAAGAAATAGAATCCATGTTTGGAGAAGGCCCCCAAAGACACACACTCACTCACTGATGAAGTCCAGATTTAAATCAGCTATAATTCTACATATAATTTTCCGTAAATCATCATCATCATCATCATCAACAACTGCTTCCATTGTCGGGTGGTGGGGATACCTGAGACCAGAAGAAACAGATTTTGATTCTTCTTCCTTATGATCCTTTAAGATAGCTTATGGCGCCCATCTCCTCTCAATCTCTTGACAACCAAAGACCATGAAATATGGTGTGGGTCACCCTTAGTCTGTACACTAGGCCCTTGGGTTTTGAATTCATGGTTCAGAGGATGGACAGCTCTGGCTTTTTTTTTGTCTCTTTTCCTCTCTTCTATTTGTCTTCTGGTGTTTTCAAATGTTGTTTTTCATGGACTACTCTATATTCTTTTCTATATAGTTATATTTTGCACAGAAAACACCAAAGAATTTAATTCTGAGTTCATTTGGAATTATTGTAAACAAAATTTTAATTCTAAAGACAAATAATAACTTCAGTAATAATAAATAAATTATAATAATAATAAATACTAGGCTCTCATGGCTCCTGATATTAATTGATTGGCTTTGTTAACATGTTAATGATTTTTGTTTTATAGATTAAAATGGGCTATGGCAAATATCCAGTTGAGTACCACAGATTTGCTTCTTAGTTGCCTTGCTTTAACAAGTTGGTAGTGTCCACTGGGGGTGGGGGCTGATGTACTGTATATCCCCATTCATGAGTGAAGATAGTTGGGAAGCATCTCAACCAGATGTTGAAAGGGCTGTTTTTTTAAAGTTTGAAGGATGAAGCAGTCAAAGCAAAGTGACAGACTGTCTGAGTAGAGTGGGTTACCCAACCTGAAGGTATTTCTAACTGGGTTCCTCTTGAAAGGATATGTGCTGCTTTTATCAAAACCTGTCAGTTTATCATATATGTATATTATGCATGTGTCTGGTGTACTATTATCAGACTGAGTGTCATGATTTGTATATTGGGCTTTGTTGGCATGCCACAATTTCACCCAATAATAATAACTAGAAAGACTCCTGAAAATTTCATAGTTCTCCTATTTTAATTTTCTTATGAATCTTAATTCTTACATTAATGATTGAATAAGCTCATGGTGACTTCTATGACAATAGAATATCTGTAAAAATTCACCTATCACATTGTTAAATATTTGAGCTTAACAACTTTAACAAAATATTGCAATAATAATTATAACTATGATTGCTAGTTGTTATTTTAAGAAATGGGTACAAATGAAAAGATTAGAAATTGCAATTTTTTCCATTTCATTGAAAAGCCATCAAGCACTTCTATCATATTTCATTTTTTTCACTGAAACCAAGTAGCGTATGTCTTTTGTTTTTCTACGTAGTCATTATTTATAATGTATTGGCAGACATAAAACACTTCTATCTTCTTTCTTTCATTTTCTCACTGAAACCAAGTAGTTTCTATTCCCCTCTTTCCACATGATCAAAACGGAATAGTCCATTATTTATGAGGTATTGGTAGGGTGTAACTATTGTGTGAACTAACAAAGGGAGAGACAAACACAATTATAATTGGATATTAATAATAATGTAATATTGTAATCATATTAAAGAATTAACAAAGAATAATTCTTCTATGTTTTTTTTTATTAGAATATAAAATAAATTAAACATTGATAAATATGTCTGAACAGGATACTAATCTAAGTATACTAGTGTATAATAGTTATAGTTGATTTATTAAATATTAATGATAATAATGATCATAAAAAAAACTTCCAAATATAGATAATTTTGTTTTTGTTATAAATTATATTTTATACTTTTCACTTTACAAAACATTTTAATATTTCTTCACAGATTATTATTTTCAAATAATACTTAATAACTTCTCTTTAAAATAATTATTACTTGCATGCAGAGGTGCTATGCTTGGGCGATCATGTCTCTTCATCTCAGATGATCATGATCACAGCTGAAGATGGCTGCAATTAGATTCTTTCCTTTCCACTTCCTTAATTCTGTCCAAATATGATGCTTGTTGCTTTCCTCTTGATCACTTTCATTCAATGCAACCTTGTAATGTCTCAAATTCTAAGCCTCCTTTTTGGATGATATAAATCGAAGCTGTCTTTCCAAGATGACTGACTCTTTCTCAATTCTCCTATTTGGATGAAGGCTCATAAAAATAGTTTTCATTCATGGAATCTACACTGAAGCCAAGTGTGTTTTACAAATAGACAACAATAAGCTATCACAGCAATGTAGATTTGTACATATTGCTTGCTTAAGTGCCATGTGTTATTCATAATTGGGTGGTCATGTCTCTTCGCCTCAAGCGATCACACAAATGGCTGGAGATAGCTGTTATCACTTCCTTAATTTGACTCAAATATTATACACATTGCCACCCTCTCACTCATTTTCCTTCAATCTGACCTTGTAATGCTACACACACTCTCCAGATGATTACTGAGAAATTGAAGTTGTCTTTCCATGATGACTGACAGTATGCCTCTTCTCAAAACTTCTGCATTGGTCACCCTGTCTGTGTATTGTATCCATATAATTCTTCTTAGAGACCACATCTCATCTGCTTTAATATTTTTCTCAAGCTCACAGTCCACACTTCACATTCATAGATCAAGACTGACCATATGTAACAATATTAATATGAATAAAGAAAGCAAATGAAGTTTGTCATTTTCCCTGTTCTACATAAACAATACTGTAAAAACTGTTCTTTGAACTTTCTAACAAGATTAAATATACAGTTATACATAATAAAGAAAATATTTCTATAAATTATTAAAAGGAATACAAACTTAAATTTATTTATATTTTACATCTTAGGAATAAAGAAAATTTGTACAGAACTTCAAAACAATGAAATGAAACTCAAATATTACAGTGTAAATAAAGGTAAGTAAATGTAGATTTTTAGATGTTTTGATAATTTCAGTTATTATAACTATATTATATTATGGCAAAAATAAAGCCTAAACTTGAATTATGAAAAATGTTAAAAATCTTTTATTTTTCAGAGCATATTTTTAATTAGTTTATTCTGAAATGGAGCCAAATGTCTTCTTTTTCTATATAATCTATTTTGTCACTGCATTACGTATCATCAGAAAATAGCATACCTATTATAAATAATCTTTGTTAAAAACTGATTATAGTTAATATCTATTTACAGAAACATGTTTCCCTTTTTTTGGCAAAACTATGCCGGACTTTGTTCATAGTATTAAAATTTGGTTATACAAAAATCTTTTCATAGTTCTCAACTAGGTGTCTATGCTGATGATAACTATTTACCAATTATGTGCCATGCGTGATACACGCTTAAGCAATCATGTATCTTTTGATACATGACTGACAAAACGGATTTTTTTTTATGCAGTAGGTTGCCATTTCTTTCTGTGAGTTGAGGAGGCACTCCACCGTGCCTCCTCAACTATTTATATCCATATTAATAGTAAGTCTGATCAGTTCAATAAGGTCAAATTGGCAGGTGATCTCAAAAATTACAAACCATCTGATGTTAACTGGGGCAAGAAATGGCTTGTTAATTTTAATACTTCCAAAACAAAACTGCTCTCTATTCTGATACAACCCTTTTTGCCTTTCATCAATATGGCTGACACTAACCTCTTGGAGAGTGACTCCTTGCTCCTTCTCAGTCTAGCATTCTCCTTTGACATGAAGTGAAAGGATTATATTGAATAAATTGCTAGGTCTGCTGCTAGGAAAGTTGGTTCACTGTGTTGTGCTACAAAATTTTTCTCACCTGAATCTATCTTACATATTTATAAGTCTACCATGTGTTCTTGATTTTGATATTGCTACCATATCTGGCTATATATATATTTAGAAATTCTTGATAAAATCCAAAAAAGAATCTGCAATGTTATTAGTCTTGGCATCTTAGTATCAGTGACTTTCACACTGCTATAATGTAGCTTACCTGTGCCTTTTCTCTATGAACTTTCCTCTATGGTACCTTAAATTTATGAATTTAAGTACAGTACTAGATTGGTGGCAAAGTCACAATCATTTTACAGTTGAATTGGCTAGATGTAACCATAAATTCTATCTCTTCTGGCTTCTTGTTTCCTAGTCAACTTCAATGCTGAAAAATTTCAATGCAGTGTCAATTGTTATCTTCTGTTTTAATTCCTGTTCTTTTATTGGTTTCTCTCTTTAATAGTGTTTTTTCTATTTTCTAACACACAATAAGCTCTTGTGTTTTAGTGGCTTTTATTGCCTTGCATAGGGTGAAATGATTAAAAAAATAAAAATTGTTCTGTTTCTTTCTATACAGATTTTTATATACTTCTCTTACACATCTGAAACTTTTAATTAATTCTCTTTTTTTTCTTTTTCTTTTTTTTGAGATGAAGTGTTTAAATCATATTTTGTTTAGTTTTTATTATAGAACTTTGCTTTATTCTGAGGAAGTATCCATATCTGTTTATATATTTCATATACAATACCTGTACCTATTCATGTATGCTCTTAGAGTGGTTTTCTTCTGACCTTATGCATTGAACCTCTGACCTTCTAATGAACTGGATTAACTTTATCAACACATTTTTTTTCTTTTTTTGCTTTTTTTTCAAATCCAAATTTAATCGTTTATTCTATTAACTATTTGTATTTGCTTTTAATTAGGCAAATTAATAACAAAGTGGAAAACTGTGTGTAACACATTTCATCCTCTAGAAGAATGTTCAGTCTGTTAATCAAGGGATTTGAGTCTGTGTGTGTGTGTGTGTCTGAATTTTTGTTCCCTATTCATTTTCAATCTATAAATATTGGTGTGCTTCTCTCTCCTTCCATATATGATCTGCCCTGTATAAGTTTTAAAGTTCCTCTGTAAATTACAGTTTTCTGATAGTCCTCAGTTCTTATTTTCAATGGTTTGCTGGAAATTAGTTTGAAACAATCAAAATATATCTGTCTCTATGAAGGAAAAGAGTTGGTTTTAAGTTTGACACTGCCGTCCCAAGTATAAGGAGGAAGATAGATTCTTATAGTCTTTCTTAGTCTCTGACGATACGCACACCTGAACTGGACGACCACCTCAAGAACAAAAGAAAAAGAAGGGACAGATAGTGTCAGCCTTGGTAATGGGTTACATCCATTTCCACTCGAAACCAAGTGTCACACACGTCCAATCTCCCCCTCGGCCAACGAGTGGGTGGAGGGTCAATCGACTGACACTTCTCGCACTTTCCCACCACAGCCCTAACCGACGCTTTAGAAACTATGGGGTCAACCTGTCTGAAGTACAACGTTCGCCTTATTCCAGGGTGGCCGCTTCGGTGATGGATGGACCTTATCCAGTCAGTCGTGCTTGTCTGGCGACACGGTGCTTCAACCATCTTCACAAGGTCAAGCCATCGCTGTGGTACTCTCATTAGGCTATCTGCTCGGTTATATTCCGACTTCACCAGGACTACATCCATAGACAGTTCATAGTCTTGGACCAAGCTTGTGAGTGTATCAAGCCGCCGTCTGATTAGCATCTCACTTGCCGCTTTGGTGCGCACCCTAGCATTCCTCGTGAGGGTGTCCGTAACCCATCTGAGATGAGGTATTGTGTACACTATTTACGTTATTTGGACTATTGTCCTCATCTTTGTTGCCATATTTATTACAATGTTTCGCCTCCTTCAGGTGGTTGGAATGTCAAGGACACACGGCACAGTGGATAAAGGTGTTAATCAGATCCAGTGACAGATGCATTAATCAGATCCAGTGACAGGACCCAAAGAGTGTTAGTTCAATAACCGGTTAAGGCAGTGGAGAACTTGGAGAGGGGAATTAACAGGAGATAACTGATAACTGACACTCATTAAACATGGCACATGGAACTAGAACAGTCTACCCCAGTGAGCAAAATAAAGGGTTCAGTTTGACATTCCAACTACCTGAAGAAGGCCAGAGTGTACAACGGCCGAATCGTTGTAATAGATATGGTGACAGAGATTAGGACAATATTCTGAATAATGTAAATAATCAAAATATAATTATCACACTGTATCACTAAGAAATTAAATGCCATGTTGTAAAAAAATTCTATTCAAATGATAATTTTAATCTAGTCACCTGTTCAATTTAATCATGTTACAAATATAAACTCATTTATTATAACTATCATTTGTAATTTGGTTTTCTTTCTTTTCCCAATAGTCAGATGCATGTAAAATTAGACATTTTATTCAACAAGAACAAAAATAAAATTATATTTGTGAAGCACAAACTCTTATGCTAATATATTGACTCTCCTTTAAATTAAATTTTAATAAGTATAGTAGAATCCCTGACATCCAGATGAAGAAGGCCTTCCAGATATAAGGAATTGCTTACAAAGTTTGGATATGAGGGCTTATATTTAGATTAAAATACAAGAACTGAAATCGGGTTTAATATTTATTTTCAATGTTTTATATTAAACAAAATAGGCTAATGGTGAGTGAAAATTGATTTTAAGGAAAAAGAAATAAATTATTTAATGTTAAAGAAAATTCATTAAATTAAGTCTGCCACATATGCAAAACAAATAATGTAACAAGGATTTTTTAATTGCTGTTGCATGATGATTCTTTCTCTTCTAATGTCATTTTCAACTTTTTCCACATTTTGTTTTGCTTTTGTTCTTGAAATTCTTTGAATGAAAGACAATTTTTAACTCTACATGCATTATTGCAATTGTCATAGCTGAATGCTGGTTTTCTTTCCATAAAACTGACAATCTTTTCAATAGCTTTTTCAATTTCAGTTTCCTCACAATCATGTTTTTTATTTCTTTGTTCATTGTGACAGTGTGAACACTGGAGAATAGATTTTTGGAAGATTTTATATCATACAATGTTGACTTTCCTATGTTGAACTCGGCCATTAGTTACAATGAACTTTCACCAGTGTCTAGTCTGTTTAAAATTTCCACTTTTTGTGATAACTCTAAAGTTGTTCTTTTCCTCTTATTCCCATCATCTTTTGCACCAATACAAGCCATTAGGGTGAAATAAGCATAAGCAATTATCCAAAATAAATTTCTTATAAAACAGAAATTTCAAGTCATATTATTCACATATTTCAAATATACACATTAAAATCATGTCCAGATATGCAAGATTCCAGGTATGAGGCACTCCAGATATGAAGGATTCTACAGTACTTACTAATTTAAGATCTGAGAATTTCTATAAATTATATATTGGATTACTCATGGACCAGATTGTTCCAATTTCCTGTTTTCATTTTTATAGAATTTTAATTGTGAACTATATTGAATTTCATTAGTTTTAACTGTATTATTTTTTAGAATGTTGTAAATATAAAATTATTCTTGGTATAAAAATGACAATTGGAAAAAAATCTTTTTTTGGTTTTTGGCTGACAGGTTTCATTTTCCAACTTTATCAAGGTAAACAATGAAAGTGAAATGTTTTGTTATAGTTATATTAAATCCAAAATTTTTAAAAAGGGACACTCCTGCATAAGCCTCTTTCTAGATAATGGTAACTTCCTTTATACTAAGAGTTTTTTTTGTTTTCCATGTCGACAGTATAGTTAAATTCTGGGAAATTAAACTATACTGTTGACATGGAAAACAAAATTATTCTTATAAATAAATAGTATTTAATATTTTTGTTGTAAACTCTCAAGAATAAAAAATGTGTAAATTCACTTTCATAGGTTTTAATTTTAATTATCACTTTTTAAAACAACAAATGAAGGTGGTTAAGTTAATAGTGGTGTCATTAGAAAAACTGTCCTTTTGACACATTGTTTTAGGCAGGCACGAAGGTTAAAGATTACCAATTATTTGCTAGAAAAGATAAAGAGTTTTGGGAAGATGGCATTGTAAAATTGCTTGAAAGTTGTCAGGTGATTGTACAACTATAAAT